AGTATCAATGCCTGAAGCAACGTGCAAACTTCCTCTTCTTAACTGCAACATTATTAAGCCTCTCCCTATTCTTCACAAGTACACTCATCCTGGAGATATCATCATTGCTGGAATTATCTCTCAAGTCTACACTTTTTCCAGTCCAATTCTCTTTGACCGTCATCCTTCAAATGAACTTCAAGATGAAGTGATGTAAGCTTCTCCTTTATTCTGAGAAATGAATTCTGCTCCAACAGTCATTCACACGATCTAGGGTAATTTACTTTAAACGGTCAGAATATATTACATTCACGTGGGCCTTCATCTACTTTAAAATATCTTCTTTTCTCATTTGGTTGCTTAGCTAATTCTTATTGATTTATTCATTATTGATTTCTCGCTGCCCAACTTGCAGTGTGACTTTTTATTATTAACAAATGTCAGGTTACTAAGTGATACGTTTAATCTTAGAATAATCAGTGAACAAATGTGGTCATCTGAAGTTAACTGTAATAGTCACTGTAATCTAAAGATCCCATTGTCAGAAGTCACTTTTTTCTCTAACTACAAGCTACCAAAACTGCTTTAAACAGAAATCTCCATTTTGAAGTTGGTTTGGGGAACATGAATGCATCTAAAGCAAAGTGTAGAATTCAAGGCAAAATCATTTTTTTTCCTGGAATGCAGAGAAAACAAAAATCATCTTTGCTGATTTTATTTATTTATTTATATTTTATTTATTTCCTGGAATCATACCAATATTTTCTTTTCGTATTTTAATTTTATATGTTCATAGCATAGTAAAACACACTTCATCAAACAATACTGAAACTAAATTGAAACAAGTATTACATTTACTTATTAAAATTACTTAATAAAACATTACTTAATTTTCATTGTCTATTTTAATGAAAAGAAGGACTAGGGGAGACATGATAGCAGTGTTCCAATATCTCAGGGGCTGCCACAAAGAAGAGGGAGTCAAGCTATTCTCCAAAGCACCTGAGGGTAGGGCAAGAAGCAATGGGTGGAAACTAATCACGGAGAGAAGCAAGTTAGAACTAAGGAGAAATTTCCTGACAGTTAGAAAAATTAATCAGTGGAACAACTTGCCTCCAGACGTTGTGAATGCTCCAACACTGGAAAGTTTTAAGAAGATGTTGGATAACTATTTGCCTGAAGTGGCTTAGTGTTTTCTGCCTAGGCAGGGGATTGGACTAGAAGACCTCCAAGGTCCCTTCTAACTCTGTTACTCTATTCTATTCTATTCTATTCATGACAGGGTTCTCTTTCAGAGTTACCAAAATATTCTAGCCCTGGTGTTTGCTGTGGATCAGATCAATGAAAGCCTTCAGATCTTACCTAACCTCACATTTGGGTTCAATATCTATAACAGTAATTTCAGTCCAAGCAGGACTTTCTTGGCCTCAATGGAGCTTCTCTTCACACTCATCCCAAACTACAAGTGTGGCTTTGGAAACATTCCTGTAGCAGCAGTTGGAGGACCTGACATCTGCCTTCACATGGCGAGCATTTTGAGCATCTACAAAATTCCACAGGTAATCCAAGATTCAGAATATTAAATGTCAGTTTTTATGAGATTGTCATTCTTTGGAAGCCCTCTTGTGTTTGGAAAATGGGGAAGTAAAGGAGCATGGGAAATGTTTTAATATGATGATAGGCATTAAGGGTTTAGAGATCCTGCCATCTGAAAAAGTAAGATTTGAAAGATTTCTACTGAATCTATACAGTAAGGTAAAGGTAAAGGTTCCCCTCACACATATGTGCTAGTCATTCCTGACTCTAGGGGGGAGGGCTCATCTCCATTTCAAAGCTGAAGAGCAGTGCTGTCTGAAGATGTCTCCATGGTCATGTGGCCAGCATGACTAAATGCCAAAGACACACGGAACGTTGTTACCTTCCCACCAAGGTGGTCCCTATTTTTTCTATTTGCATTTTTACGTGTTTCGAACTGTTAGGTTGGCAGAAGCTGGGACAAGTAACGGGAGCTCACCCCATTACGCGGCGCTAGGGATTCAAACCACTGAACTGCCGACCTTTTGATCGACAAGCTCAGCGTCTTAGCCACTGAGCCACCACGTCCCTTTAATCGATACAGTACATGACTTCATATTTCTGAAATAAATTATGGTTCAGAAATAAATTAGGTTTCAGAAATGAATCATTCATTTTTCCATCCCAGATTTCATTAATATTAATCTAAAGTATATGATAGACCACATGTCTGCCTCTCTGTGACAGGAGAAGGGAGCTTTCGAAAAAGGTGATTAGGAATTGTATGTGGAGATTGACTTTGGTATCTACAAGTCTAGAGGTGCTCCTTTTTCCTCCTTCATCCTCAGCACCTGTTTCAGAGGGAGTGGCTTCCCCAAGAATTTAGATTAAGTGTCAGAAGACATTTAGAATATCTGTAAAATGTCAGATTAACAATTGGTTCCTACCTGGGTTACACATACTGCATTTGGCCCCACTCTAATTTTAAAACATGCTGCAATCAATATGTATAATGTAAAACACTCAAGTTCATAATAAATAGTATCATTCTGAAGCATCCTTGTGATGAAACTTTGCTATAGCATTTCACTGTATTTTTATGTATTCCTACATCTATGGAGACACCACAACGAGCTTTTTACTAAATCTCTACTATGTGGTTTGCTGATCAGGAACTGATAATAAGTGATGACTTAGATTCCTGTAGGAAATAGTTCTAAAGATTCATAGGCAGCAGATGTGAAATTGGCAAAAGAAGAGAAATCTTAACAGAATAACAGAGTTGGAAGGGACCTTGGAGGTCTTCTAGTCCAATGCCCTGCACAAGCAGGACACCGTATATCATTTCAGAAAAATGGCTGTCCAGTATCTTCTTAATAGCATCCAGTGATGGAGCACTCACAACTTCTGAAGACAACTTGTTCCACTGGTTAATTATTCTCACTGTTAGGAAATTTCTCCTCACTTTTAGGTTGCTTCTCTCCTTGATTAGTTTCCATTCATTGTTTCTTGTCTTGCTTTCTGGTGTTTTGGAAAATAGGTTGATCCCCTCTTCTTTATGGCAGCCCCTCAAATACTGGAGTGCTATCATGTCACCCCTAGTCCTCCTTTTCACTAGACCAGATAAACAATTCCTGCATCTGTTCTTCATATGTTTTAACCTCCAGCTCCCTAAAACATCTGTGTTGACTTAATTATCATTGGGGACAATTCAAAGAGAAAGAGTTTGGCTGTAATGCGAATGACTAGTAGATGGCTGCAATGGACTTATACAGTTCTAGTTGCTTTCGCTGTAGCCTTTCTCTAAATCCAGATAAAGTGAGGATCGTGTTCCTAAAATTTCTTGGAATTTTTATAAGACAAAGGCTCATCTATTTCTGGAAACTACTAAATTATTGGATGGAAAGGCATAGGAGAGTACTAAGTGAAGAACATTTTTTTTTATTTATTTGTCAAACACATATAAGATAATAGATATAAGTATAAACATGATTATGAATACAGGATAAGGATATAAATAAATGGGGACAGTAGGACAGGGACGGTAGGTACGTTGGTGTGCTTATGCACACCCCTTACAGACCTCTTAGGAATGGGGTGAGGTCAACAGTAGACAGTCTAAGTTTAAAGTTATGGGAGGCATTGACCACTTTGTTGCTGAAGTCATGTTTTCTGCAATCGAGTTTGGAGCAGTTTACCTTAAGCTTGTATCTATTGTGTGCTCATGTATCATTGTGGTTGAAGCTGAAGTAGTTATTGACAGGTAGAACGTTGTAGCAGATACTTTTGTGTACTACGCTTAGGTCAGTCCAAAGGCGGTGTAGTTCTAAATTGTTTAATCCCAAAATTTCAAGCCTCGTGGCATATGGTATTCTGTTGTTAGCAGAGGAGTGGAGTACTCTTCTCGTGAAATACCTCTAGACTTGCTCTATTGTATTAATGTCCAATGTACAGTGCGGGTTTCAAGCAGATGAGCTGTATTTGAGAATTGGTCTAGGAAAGGTTTTGTGTGCCCTAGTTTGCAGTACAATATTTCTGGAGAAGAAGCTTCACAAGAATTCATCAACAAAGGTGACATACAGAGGGTGTCAGAAGATAGATGGAAGAAAGATTGCCAAAAATTGATCTTTCTGAGATCATAAGTAAATCCATGGAATAGTAGGTATAGCATTAAACAATATAGAGGGATGCATATGCAAAACGTTTGCTGCTTTTAATGATTATGTCAGGCTATGAACTAGAAGGCAACACCATGAAAAGAAGGACTAGGGGAGACATGATAGCAGTGTTCCAATATCTCAGAGGATGCCACAAGGAAGAGGGAGTCAAGCTATTCTCCAAAGCACCTGAGGGTAGGACAAGAAGCAATGGGTGGAAACTAATCACGGAGAGAAGCAAGTTAGAACTAAGGAGAAATTTCCTGACAGTGAGAACAATTAATCAGTGGAACAACTTGCCTCCAGAAGTTGTGAATGCTCCAACAGTGGAACATGAAGGTGTTGGATAACCATTTGTCTGAAGTGGTGTAGGGTTTCCTGCCTAAGCAGGGGGTTGGACTAGAAGACCTCCAAGGTCCCTTCCTATTCTATTCTATTCTATTCTATTCTATTCTATTCTATTCTATTCTATTCTATTCTATTCTATTCTATTAAAATTTATAAGGATTGAGGGCAGGAAAGAGAAAAAAAGCATGCTGTGGGGAGGAGCCAAAGCTAGAAATCTGTTGGGTCCTAAATCTTTCAATCAAATCAATCCTTGAACTCTTGTCTGTGGCCTCATATAATCCTGATATGTACTTATTAAAAGATTACTATTTGAAACCCTGGTGGTTGGAATATGCCTAATATTTAGGGAAAAACTACTAGAATCTGGAAAGTGCATCATTATTGAAACCAAAGGAGAGGGACAAAGAAGCACAGTTGTTCTTGTTGTTTGTTGTTTTTAAATTCCATTAGCTCACATATGGCTCTGCTCCAGTAACAAATAAAGGCATTTTTTTACAACAAATGTTCCCAAATGAGGCCCTACAACACAAAGGCATCCTCCAGTTACTGCAGCATTTTAGGTGGACATGGATTGGTGTTCTTTCTGGGAAAGATGATACAGGAGAGAAGTTCATCCGGGATATACTCCCCATGTTTTCTCAGCTAGGAATCTGCTTTGATTTTATAGAAACATTCCCTAGCCTGGCATTTTACAGTGATTTTATGGAAGTGATGGATAAAGGACTTGAAGTATACAAAATCATCATGAAAAGCATGGCCAACGTGATCATTGTGTATGGCAAGATCCAGACGATGACATTTTTAAAATCGTTTCTCCGTTTTGCAGAAGTGGAAGACATACCCTTGTGCCCCAAAATCTGGCTTATGCCAGCACAAATGGATTTTGCAACAGTATCCTTTAACATACACTGGGATATACATTTCATCCATGGTGCTTTATCTCTCTCTGTTAACTCAAAGAAAGTATTGGGATTTCAGGAGTTTCTTCAGAGCAGAAATCCAACCACAGAAAGGCACGATGGCTTTATTAGAGATTTTTGGGAGCAGGTGTTTGATTGCTCATTTCTCAACTCTAGGAAGAGTAAAGGCACTGAGAGAATTTGTACTGGAGAAGAGAAACTGGAGAGACTCCCTACTTCTGCTTTTGAACTTAGGATGAGTGGCCACAGCTATAACGTGTACAATGCTGTCTTTGCTGTGGCACATGCTTTGCAGTCAATGCACTCCTCTAAATCCCAGCAAAGAAATTGGATGAACTTGGGGAAACAGTCGTTTCAGGACCTACAATCATGGCAGGTAATATCTAGAGCAGAGAACTTCAGGAAAACTTATATTCTCTATGGTTGTCAATTCTAAGTTAGAAAACATTTTCCTCCTAAACAACAGGGTGCTATAGTATTTACATGGTCAATTTTGTAATATTTCATCTGCAAAAGAATTCCACTGGTATATGGAAGGCTACTGTATATAAAGGAGAGAGAATTAGAGAGAGCAGGGACCTCCAGTATTTATAGAACAATCTCAAAGAACACAATAAACTTATATAAGTAAGGTAAAGGTAAAGGTTCCCCTCGCACACATGTGCTAGTTTTACCCGACTTTAGGGGGCGGTGCTCATCTCCGTATCAAAGCCGAAGAGCCAGCGCTGTCCGAAGCCATGTCATGGCTGGCATGACTAAATGCCAAAGGCACACAGAACATTGTTACCTCCCCACCAAAGGTGGTCCCTATTTTTCTACCTGTATTTTTTTTGTAAAGTTTTTTTATTATTATTATTTTTTAAACACACACACAAACAAACATACAATACATCTTTTCTCAACAGAATATTGGCCCGGTCTTAAATTTGTACAGATTTTTGTTCATCTTTAACATAATTTTATATGTTCAATTTTTCTCATAGCATTTATTCTCTTTAATTTTAAGAAACCAATATTACCCTTCATCTTGACTTCTCATCCTATTATAGCTCAATTTTTCTTTTACCTCCTTAAAATCTGTACCCCTAAATTTAGATTCACATAACATAGTACAATCCCCAATTATTTCCTTAAATTGTCTTCTTCTAATCACCAATGATTCTTTTATCAACTATTCCAAATAATACAATTCAACATATTAGTAGAGACCAATTAACTATATATCTTAACCCAAATGTTCCGACTACTGCAATTTCATGTATTAAACTTCTTATTTCTGGGTCTTATTTTCAAGTCTTAAACATCCCTACATTTTGTCATGTCTTCATATTGATTTAAATAATTCATTATTACCATTATATTATTTCATCAATTATTTATATTCTTATCTCTTATTTTAAAGGTAATCCATTTATCATAATTTCACTAATTAATGAAACATATTCAATGAAAAATCAATTAAATATCAATCTTACTCCAATATCCCTAAATTTAAACTCATACAACATAATACAATTCCTAATTATTTTCTTAGAATCTCTTATTCCAGTCTCAAATAATTTTTTCTTTATCAACTGTTCCAAATAGTACACTTCAACATTTTTATAAAAACCAGTTAATTATATCTAATTAATTAATAATCCAATATCATTTCAACTTTCTTAACTTATTTAGTTAAATTCCAAATATACAATTGAAAATATTCCAGTTATTACAATCCCCTTCATTAATTAAAAATATTCCAATTATTACATTCATCATACATCCATATAGTTTGAAATAATTTCATTAAAAATACAATTTCATCTTTTCTCTAAGATTCATTTCATTTACCATATTCCTCTTCCATTTCTCTCTCCCTTTCTATCTTTATATTTTCTTTTCTTTTTCTTTCCCCTACTTTTCTTTTGTATTTTAAAGTCCTGAACTCTCTTTTCTCTTTTTTTTATCTTTCCACTGTTAATCCAATACAATCATTTTGTTTTTTAAGAGCATACACTCTTCTATTTTGCTGTATCTTTCCCATTCTTTTCCAACCCTTTTTTCTTATGTTCTCACTGATAATCCCAATGTAATCATTTATGTTTTTATATTCTTTCTATTCCTCCCTCTTTTCTTTCTTTGTTTGTTTCCCCTTTTTCTATTTCTTCCATTGTTAATCCCAATGTAATTTTTGAAATTCTCCTTTTTATTATTGCTACCCACATAATCATTTAATTTTCTACAATCAATCTCCTTGTCTTTGCCTTCTTCTTTATTGTCAGTCTCTTTTTCTTGCTTCTCATTAGTTGTTTCTTTGTCAGCTTGAATGTATCCTAAATCATCAAGTTTCAATTTTCCATGCAAGATTGTGGTCATTTCCCTTATTTCCATTTTCAATGATAAGCACATCGTATTCATCATTTCTTTAAGTTCCTGCACCATTTTATTCTTTCTAGGTTAAAATTATTCCAATTGAAGTTACGTTGTAATCCTCTTTTGTTTCCAAAGCCAAGACACTTGTGAACAAACAAAGCCTCCTTAAAAATTCTCACATGCTGTTATCCCTTTCAAGATTCAAGTTTTTTTTCTTTTCCAAAACAAGGATTCAGTGTTGCAATATTTTTTTTTCTCCTGAAGATGGCTCTCTGCAATCCACTATTACAATCAGCAAGCTGGAAAAGTATCCATTTTGTTTGCTGTCAGCTTTAAACAATTTTTACTTATTTAATTTTTCTTCTTTTTCACCTTTATATGCACCAAATCAGTTTAAAATTCAGTCCAGATTTGCATAATCCAAATTCAATGTTACATTCCAATTTAGTTTCATTTTAAAGTCATTAACCAGTCCTTTCTGTTACAAGTTTTTCTTCCTTCTTTATCCTTCCTCCTATTGTTGCTCCATCCTCCGAGCCTATCTTATTGGAGGGAGAAGGCTCCGAACATGAAGGAGAGGAGTAGGCCAGGCCTCCCTCTCCAGGCCTCTCCTATCTGGCACTGCCTCAGGTGCCGGCCAAGGAAGAGGAGATTAGCCAGGAGCCAGGTGTCTCCGATGATAGCGATGGAGGCGATCTGTTGTTCCTGGATCCACGCCAACGAAGGCATGATAAACGGTTGCAGCAGTTGAAAAGGCATGCCAGGGATTAGGCTGAGTCACTGGACCACACCCCAGAGACTATATAAGAGAGTGTGGTGGCCATTTAAGACTCTGTGATGGACAAAAACTAACTCTGGCTAGTCACTTTGAACAACGCTTAAATCTGCCGAAGGTTTCTTGTTTTGAACTGGACTATTTGCAAACTGTGTGTATTTCTGTTTATCTGGTGAAGGGATATTAAGTAAAAAGCACTTGGCAGTCGGTGCTCGTCTTGCTGCCAAGTTTTTGATAACAAACTGTGCGTGCCAAGTGCTTCCTTTAACCCTCGGCTGGCTCTGTGTGTGTGTGTGTGTGTGTGTGTGTGTGTGTGTGTGTGTGTGTGTGTAGACAGGGACAGAACACCTCCTTTTATAGTTCCCAAATTAAAAAAGGGTCTTTTCGGGTTCTCAATTCTTCTGATTTTTTTTAAAGTTCTCCAAATACTTAAATCCCCCCCCAAAAAAACCCACAATTTTCAGATCGGGTTTTATTACTTTATAATTTCTGCCTTAATCTTCTTTTTTTGTCCTTTCCCATGTTTATTAGCCGCTGTTATCACGCTAGGGCATTTATAATTGTTTTAAAAATCCTCTTTTTTTCTTTCTGCCTATGAGTTAAATATCACTCATCAGGCATCAATATTCTGCTCAATTCTCCATGCTTGCACAGTGTGTCAGGTTTCGACTGCACTAGAGTAAATGCAGCTTGAAGTGCTGACACAGTGCTTGGTCCGGTTGCCCCAGCTTCCTGGCAGTCGTAATGGCCGTCGCCCCCCGCTGCAGAGTCAGAGAGAATTTCCTATGACCTCCGAAGAACTTGCCTGTTCCTCTTGGTCTTCCAAGATGCCTCTCTTTCTTCCCTGTCCCTACAGGACAGATCCGAAGAGGTTGTAAAAAAATGCTTTTTTTAAAAAAAGAAAAGCCTCTGATGATCACACAGCTCAGCTGTGATCGTCAGAGGCTTTTAAAAGCATTTTTTTCTGCAACTTCTTAAGATTGTAGAAAAAATGCTTTTAAAAGTAAAAAAAAAAAAAAAGTTGGCCATGCCCACCCAGTCACATTACCCCCCCAAGCCATGCCCACAGAACTGGTAGTAACAAATTTTACATTTCACCACTGCTTGAAAGACTGACTGGGTTCTCTCCTCCTTCCTTCTTGTAGTCTAGTGATGGAAGAAGTGAGCAGCACTCGGTAGGGTAACAATGAAGAAATTGGAAAATGTATTCAAATGTTATGATGTGCCTATATCTAGAAAAAAAATCAAAATCATGCAAACCATGGTATACCCTCTGAAATTCTACAAAAGTGTTGGTTTTAGCTATAGCTGTCTGACAGCAAGCCAGTCATGTGCCAATTGTTAAACTAGAAAACCTTCTATTTCTACCTGAATGGGAGAGCACTGTTTATGATGGAGAACAAGTGGTTTTATTCAGCCGGTTCTATCCGGTTCAGGTGAACTGGTAGCGGCGGCTGTGGGAGGCTCCGCCCACCTACCTGGACGTCATCACATCCCATTTTAGATTCTCTGTGCATGTGCAGAAGGCCCTGTGCATGCACGGAGGTGGTGCGCAAAGCAAGCGCACACCCACACATGTTTCACATTTGCGAACCGGTAGTGAAGGTAAGTGAATACCACCACTGTGCAGTACTGTAAAATATCTTCTGAAGGTATTTGGTGTAGTGGTTAAAGCACTTGCCTAGAAACCAGGAGAGTTGTAGTATTACCTTAGGCATGAAAGCCGGCTGAGTGACCTTGGGTCTGTTTTTCTCAATTGTTGTGTTGTTATGGGGAGAATAGGTGGAGGAAGAAGTCAGTGGTGGGTTGCTCCCGGTTTGGCCCTGTTTGGCCGAGCTGGTAGTGGTGACGATGTGATGTCACCAAACCGATTCTCTTTGACTGGGAGCTGGGCCCTCCCGCCCGTCCCCACTTTATTCCTACCTTTATTTTTGGTTTTTTAGCCCAGCTGATAGGCGCAACAGAGTTGACTGCTGCATCTCAGCTGGCCTAACACGCTTGCACGGAGCGCAAGTTTGGGGATCACGCGCAAAGTGCATGCACAAAGAGAACAGGTGATAACACTGGTTGGAACCCACCACTGGAAGAAGTATATAGAAAATAATAAAGGCAAGGTAAAAACAAATAAACAAATAAACAAATAAACAAATAAACAAATAAACAAAAAACAAATAAACAAATAAACCAAATAAACAAATAAACAAATAAACAAATAAACAAATAAACAAATAATGATTTAACCCACCCCTTACAAATTTTCTCTTTGTGCCTCTCAAATTTAGCTGCATCCTTTTCTGAGAAGTGTCTTCTTCAACAATAGTGTGGGTGAAAAGATTTCCTTTGACAAAAATGGAGAATTTATTGGAGGATTTGATATTATAAACTGGGTCACTTTTCCCAACCAGTCATTTTCTAAAGTGAAAGTAGGAAGCATAGATCCCTTTGCTTCTCCAGACAAAGCCTTCAGTATTCATCTGGATTCCATCACATGGCCAGAAAGCTTTAATCAGGTCAGTGATATTGTCTTTGTTTTGATTCAGTTAATCAACATTGGGGGGGGGGAGCAAACTTCTGGAAAAGTTTTTCATTTCTGAGTTGCATTCAATTACTTTTTATGTATTTATATCCTTATCGAGAAACAAATAGACTTATGTTTTATTGTAGTCTGTCATCTTACTTCTTAATTCTTTTGTTTGAAAAGACTTCTAAAGATTAAAGAGTGATTCTTGGATTTGTATTTCCAGATAGACAGGAGTAAAGTTCAAAATTAATATGGTGGTTGTCTCTGAGTAGATCTTCCTCAGTAATCTGTAATCTTTGTAGTCTGCAAATAAAAATGAATATCTCTGATCCCCTCAGATAAGGGCATTTATAGCCATAATTCCAGACTAAAATCTTCCAGTGCTTTTGGACTTGAAATCCATGAATACCAACTAGCAGTCAGAAGACATGATGAAAACTCATTAATTTCACAGCAACTGTGAAACCATAATTTCAATTGGGAAACTGTGAGCATCTTAGACCAAATTGAGTGCAAAAACACAAGAGAATTCCTGGAAGCCTGGCACTTGGACAAATTGACCATCAATAGGCAAATAGAGATGAACAACATCTACATACCATTCAAAAGAGACAATCATACAGGCCAAAAAGGAAACAAAGACCCAAACATTCCCTTCCTAGCAATCAACATCCAGATGAGCAGAGACTGACACCAAGATTAATGTTAGAGTAACAACTAAGATGCAAACAACAACTCAGACAAACAAGCTAATAGTAAACAGCCCAATCAAGGAACCACAAAGACCACTCTCCACAAAACTGATAGGGCAAGCCATTAAGATATAAAATGAGATCAAACCCCACTCCCTGCTAGAACTGATAATGTTATCTTAGTCTGGTAAAGAAACATCTGCAAGAAAACAACCAGATTCACAGAGCACCAAGGATCCCTGAGTCCAACCCTTAGCTACAAATATTATCTTCTATCAAAACTGTTTATTTTTCAGCATGAAGTAAATCTATTCTCTCTCTCTCTCTCCTTGTTACTTCTGGATCAGTCACTCCCCATTTCTTTGTGTAATAATCATTGCCAGAGAGGATATAGGAAGGCCAAAAAGGAAGGGAAGCCATTTTGTTGTTATTATTGCCTTCTATGTCCAGAAGGGAAGATTTCAACTGAAGACGGTAAGAAGTACTATGCACAGAGGTTTTCTAAAACAAAACAAAACAAAGTAATGAGAATGAATCTGCTGGTGAAGAGTTGTGTGCCTGGATATGTAAACTCTTCAGTTGTGAAAGTATTTACAAGATGAAAGCAATATGAGTGAATAAAGATACACTGAGTTCAGATATAAACATGTAAGACGAGGGACTAAGTAAAATGCTATCATAAGTGTTGAGTGATGTTCTTAAGAGACAGGTGGAGGAGCTGCTACCAAGACCATTGTCAGATAAAAGTGGCCTCACAATCTCCCAAATCCTAGTTGAAAGCCTTTAACCTCTATTTCAAACTGGGTGAAACTAAACACCATTTAGTAGTACATGAATAAGCTTACATCTAAGTTTAATTATAAGATATCTGCAACAGGGCTATCTAAAAAGTAGGCCCTGTTCCCTAATTGTAGTTAATTGATCAATTATTCAATAATGAATTATTATTCTTTCATTATTCAATAATGAATAATTCATTATTGTTCAATGGATTATTATTCACCGCCCTGAGTCCTGCGGGAGTAGGGCGGTATATAAATCTAATAAAATAAAATAAATAAAATAAATAATTATTCAATATTGAATTATTGAATTATTTGGGATAATGAGATAATTAGACAAAGGCATTTTCATTCCTTCCAGATGATACAAACGATGATCAGGGGCTGATATTAAATTCAATGTACCACTAGGAATAATCTGTGGGAAAATAAAATCCTTTCAATTTAACAGATTTGTTTCTTTGATCTCATTTCATCTCAGGCTGAGTTCCTCCTAGCCATATTCTGTAATGGGGTGTGTGTGTTGATGTTGTATTGATGAGTGTAACAGAAATTTTTGCTGATTGCTTTTAGATACAGGTGACTGTTCTCCATGTCCCGAAGATCAATACCCAAATCACAACAAGGATTCATGTCTCCCCAAAGTGATAACTTTCTTATCATATGAAGAACCACTGGGGATGAGTTTGACTATCTGTGCTCTGTCTTGTTCTGCTATCACAATTTTACTGCTCCAGATCTTCATTAAACACAGGGACACTCCCATTGTAAAAGCCAACAACAGAAATCTCACCTACATTATCCTCATCTCCCTTCTGCTCTCTTTCCTTTGTGTTTTGTTATTTATTGGGAGACCAAAGGAAGTTGTGTGTCTTCTTCGACAACCAGCTTTTGGCATTATCTTCTCAGTGGCAGTTTCCTGTTTATTGGCCAAAACCATTGTGGTTGTCCTAGCATTCATGGCCACCAAGCCTGGGTCCAAAATGAAGAGATGGGTGGGGAAAAGAATGGTGAGCTCCATTGTACTTTCCTGCTCTCTTGTTCAAGTCATCATTTGTGCCTCATGGCTGATGACATCCCCACCATACCCAGATTCTGATAAACATTCAGTCTCTCAAGAAATCATACTAGAATGCAATGAAGGTTCAGTGACCATGTTTTATTGCGTCTTGGGTTTTATGGGCCTTTTGGCCACTATCAGCTTCTCTGCAGCTTTTCTAGCCAGGAAATTACCTGACAGTTTCAATGAAGCCAAATTCATCATCTTCAGCATATTTGTCTTCTGCAGTGTTTGGTTATCTTTTGTCCCAAGTTACTTGAGTACCAAAGGGAAATATATGGTGGCTGTGGAGATCTTCTCCATGTTATCTTCCAGTGCTGGCTTGTTGGGTTGTATCTTTGCCCCCAAATGTTTTATCATCCTGTTCAGACCTGAACTGAACAGCAAGCATTTGCTCATGAAAAGATAATTTTTAAATCCTGAAAAATTATTCCCAGTAACTAATGCAGATTCTGTTGGAATAGGATGAGGTTAAACAACTCAAAGTCCATCACCTTGTCATCATGGCACAAAGTATCTTATCAATACAAACCAAAGTGCTTTTAGAAAATATGGATCAGCTCTGTTATTAAGTAGAATAACATGACTGCTTTAAAAGTTTTTAAATTTATTTGCCATATTTTAAGTAATGAAGATAGTAAGGTATTTTCCGGGTCTGACTGAATTCTCATGTCACTCTAGAGGTTGTGCTGCACAAAAACTTTTATTTTCTGGGCCTGAAATATTGGAGGAATTTGTGCAGAATTTGTGAGGTATATCTGTGATATTTATGCATTGCAATAGGAAAATAATTTTTATTATATGATTTTATTTTTGGCTGCAATAAAGCTACTTATGTAGTCATTGCCTGAGAGTCTTTTTCCATTAATTTAGCTCTTTGGGTATTAAGCAAACCTCAAAAAAAAAAAAATGCAGTTATGTGGACATGTAGGGAAGAGAACACTATTGCATTTTTCTGCCTTCTAGCTTCAACCTCCAATACGAGAATTTAGTTTTTAATTCCTTGAAAATCATAGATCTGTATTTTACACAATCAAATCACTTCACACATTGGGGACCAGGTGAATTGCTCTCCTTTAAATTATTACTGGAGATGTTGTTGATATATTCAAGCTCATGTGTCTTCTCATGTGTTCTGAGCTTTCTCTCACTTTAAACTTTGATTTTGGATGAAAAAACAAAAAACAACCCATATCCTGTTATTCATTTATTAAACAAATTTAATGGCTTCTCAACTCACAGTGACTCTTGTATCCAATTTTTTCACAATCTACCATTTAGACATACGGGGCTATAGCTACAGCAACCATTATGCCATAGCTGTGATAATCATTATCTACTGTATATTCAATACATGATGCCGGCTTACTGTCAAACTACATCTCCTTCCTACTGAATTTATTATAATTTTATACTGCCAGTCATTAATCCATTTCAAAACTTCAGATTCTCCAAACCGATAGGTGCCCTAGATATGTCTTTTCTCTGTGCTTCAATATCCCCCTCCTTCATGTGTGGATAAACACATCTTCTTTCTTTGCATAGTACATGATTTTCTCGGTGGTGATGTCTTGTGCGATTGTCGTCAAACCTTTGTTCTTGTTCTAGACTGAGACAGAGTATCCAAATCTTTATCTGCAGGAAAAGAAAGAAGTTCAGATAATTTAATTGTCAGGGTTCTGACAGATGCCTTAATGAAATCATGAGTCTCGAGCCAAGCTTCAAAAGAAATCCAGTTGTTTATTAGGAGCTTCATGTTGGCATGTTCCAAGTGAAACCAACTCTGACCCCACATAATTTACAGCCCTGGCTTGACCCTGTTTCCCCACTCCCCCCCCCCAGGGTGTGTCATCAGTCACATTCATCAATGGAGCAATTTTGCAGGTTGTAGAGATCACTCCCGTCTGGCCGCTGTGGGTATCCCTGGGAGACAGTCTTGAGAGAGATATGTCTGGAATGTGCTTTTGTTTTTGGCTGCTGTGCTGCTTCGCCATTTTCCCATCTCCCTTGCCTATGGCAACTTAAGAGCAGGCTAGGGATGTTTTGCATGTTGACACCAATCCTGAGATAGATATATTTTCCACAAAGTATTTCCTTCCTTTTAACTGAACAAAGTAACACAAAGAATAGAATAAACAAAGGATCAGATTACTAATATAGTTTATTAATATACAGATTAAAAACAGCAAATAATGAGAAATGTCCTGGTGGATTTTGAAAGATTAAAGCTGAAATCCTGGCCACATTCTCCAATTCCTTATAGACTACATACTTGATTTGCTACTGGCTATGGCCAACAGTTAGACCTCAATGTGTCGTTTCTGTCACACTTTACATGATGAAACATTCTGTTTTCACTCCAATCCAATTGAAAAGAAATGAAAATCTCAAAAGTTTGATATGGAACACTATGGAATACTTTGTATACTTATTTATTTCTAAGGACCTTTGGGTTTTTTCCTTATCGAGAGAGCATGGATGGAGATGGTTTTTGATGAAAGATGATGAATATATTCCTGAGATATATTGACTCTATGACTATATCACTATGTGATATATTCTATCATTCTGCTGAACACCTAATTAGGCCTAAACATATTTACCCATGTACTAGCTGTTGTCAGAGTTCCAAGTAACACCCCCAGCGAAATAAGACTCCAAGGCTTGAAGTTCCTCAAAGTTCCATTTTATTAGAGATGTCATATTGGCACATCTGGGAAAACCCGAATCTTAAAGTTTCCAGGTTTTCCCCACCCAAAAGAAAGTTCCATTCCCTGCCCAAGACCCACAAGTCCATGACATGGTCCACTCAAAGCACTTTCCCAACTGAAGATGCCTCCCAGTTCCAGCCTTCCAGGTGCAGGGTAAGATGTCCTTGACTCTCTGAGAAAGGAATGTTATTATGACTATTATATATCACCCTAGCTCCACACAATTCTCCCATCCCAGTTTCTCACAGTAGTAAATGTGGCAGACCTGAAGCTCCAATGAAAAAGATGGCTTCCAGGCCTGATAGCTGTATTGTTTATTTGTTCCCTCTGACTGTCATTAAGTGTTGTACCTTATGATTCTTGATGAATGTATCTTTTCTTTTATGTACACTGAGAGCGTATGCACCAAGACAAATTCCTTGTGTGTCCAATCACACTTGGCCAATAAAGAATTCTATTCTATTCTATTCTATTCTATTCTATTCTATTCTATTCTATTTATTTCCCTTCTCCTATTTGGTACCTTGTTTGTATCTTACGATTAATGAATAATTATGATAATTAATTAATTAATTATTAATTATGATTAAGGATTGTGACTATGATTTATGATCTATCACCTATCACTTGTTGTTTACATGTACACTGAGAGTTTATGCAGTGGAGACAAATTCCTTTCGTGTCCAATCACACTTGGGCCATTAAACAATTCTATTCTATATCTCATAGAACTTGTAATCCTGAGCAGGTAGTTGTTTTTCTGGCAATTATCAAATTAGCCCCAATTACTTTCATTTCATCTCCAAGTCTCAAGGGTGTTTTGTTAACCACCAGCAAAACTAAAATGTAAGATAGAAGGACCTTGTTCTTATTTGCTCTACAATGTAAAGAAGCAGAATATATATATATATATATATGTTGGTGTTGTTCTTTAATGCTCTTGGTTGGTACTGTAAATCAGCCAAGTGGTCATTCAAGTTAGGCTGTGCTATTCGGCCAAGAATCTATTAAGAGAAAGAAATAGGACAAATGAAAGACTGCAAAGAAGGAATTCTATCATGCAAATTAATGAAGCTCTCTCTATTGCTCTTAATGCTGTTGTTTAGGGCAGTTTCAGAGATTCCTAACATGAATTGCATTGTTGGTGATCCTATTCCAATTCTTCATAAATACTATCAATCAGGAGATGTCATTGTTGCTGGCATTTTGTCTCAAATCTATACATTTTCAAACACAATAAACTTTCATGAAAAACCTTCTACTGACCTTTTCTATGATACTGAGTAAGATGCTCATGTATCTAAAACTAATTACTCAGAAATGAGTTTGATGTTTTGTGCTGGGTCTATATTGTATATCTCTTTTCCCATGAAGACTGGAATTGTTCAAGGATGCCTTGGATGTCAAGGTCCATTAACAATGCATTGGGAATCAACAGTTCTGCTTAATCTCATTTATATGGATGAGTTCATGATTTTTGAGTTCATTATTTTGGCAGATCATATTCTCAGTTAATTCTGTGGAAGATACATGTTTTATATGTATCTACTTTTCTGCAGTTTACTAACTAATTTATCTGTAAATTACTTTGGCGGAAGCTTTACGAATCCCACATAATAAAATACTGTTTTGTACTGTATTTGTAGCTTGTTGCATGAGGATGATATGTTGATGAAATATTTATTTTTAATAAAGTTTCATGAAGAATAGTCATAAATCCATTTGCTAAATTTCTTTCCTGAAATCTTTCTTACAATATTTTTTTCCTTTTTCTTTGTTTTTAAGTAAAGAAATATCCCATTATATTTCAAGATCCCCCTATTCCTTAAAAAGAATTGGAGTAATTCAATGGCATGGCAAAATAAATTTGTTTTGGTCAACTCATAAAAAAACCCATCTTTTTTTTTTTTGAATTGCAAAATGCCTGTATATAATGTAAGATAAGAGTTTCCCCATTTTTTAAAAAATTATCTAGTTATTTGTATTCACAGTAGTGGCCAAAATTGTGGAAACCTTTTGGGAAAAGTATATTTTTGAGGTTTGATGGCTAATAACACCACTTGTTTTTGGAGTTTCAAGATAATCATATTCCACTGCTGAAATCCCCTGGGAATAGCCCAATTGAAAATCTATGGAGCCGACTAAAGAAACTTGTTAGTCAGCGACGACCCAAGCAATAAAACCCAGTTAATAGAAGCAATCATTCAATCTTGGTTTCATATTATATAGCTGCAGAACTAAAAGACTTGGTTTACTCCATTGGAAGATGTTGTAAGGCCATAATTCATGCTAAAGGTTACCCAACTAAGTATTAACTGACATGGTGATAATTTTGTGTATATCTCATTTTTTGTATGGTGATAATTTTGCATATCTCGTTCTTTTCTATGTGTTTCACTTTTCTTCTTTATACTGTACATGCTATTCTAATAGCAAATCCTTCATAAAAGTTATTGCATTACATTCTTGATTAAATTATCTTTCCATTGATATATAATTTTATGGTACTACTCCAAAAAAAAAAAGTGGTGTTATTAGCTAGTTTTAGAAAATATACTTTTCTCAAAAGGTTTCCACAATTTTGGCCACTACTGTATAAGCTGTTCTTATTTTTACTGTTTCTAAAATGAATATCAACGGAGAAACTGATTATCTCTGTGTTATTATGAATAGTTTTGATTTCCCAGAACTTCAGTTATTCACAATAATATACTGCTTAGTTATTTTAGTCTTGCAAGACTTCTGTGGACAGGAAAAATTTTGCTTAGCAGCAATTTTGATACAGTCCCATCTGATCAATGCAATCTCATTTGAGGGTAGCTTTGAGAACAATATATTTAAAGCTATGAGTTGAACAAATGTCCTGAAACCAATGAGCTATAATCAACATTTCATTTCAATTCAGGTGGTGACTCAGCTCTACCAACACATTTTGTCTTTGGCATTTGCTATAGAAGAAATCAATAAAAATCACCAGATTTTACCCAATCTCACTCTGGGCTTCCATATCTATAACAGCAATTTTATTGCAAGCTGGACATATCATGCCTCAATGGAAGTATTTTCAACAGAAGGCAAGTTAATCCCTAACTACAAGTGTGAAACTGAGAACAATCTAGTGTCAGTCATTGGAGGACCTAATTCTGAAGTCTGTATCCACATGGCAGCTATTCTCTCTATTTACAAGATTCTACAAGTAAGAGTTTCCTCTCAGATTTTAAATCTATAGCTATCTGTCTAAGTCACTGATGGCAAACCTTTTCTGGACCGAGTGCCCAAAGTGTGCACATGCGTGTGCAAATGCGTGTGAATGTGCATGCCCGAACCACCAAAATACAATACACATGCAGCCCCCTGCATGCACTCCACCTCCCATATGCTCACACGGCCTCCCACACATGCCCCTCCCCCTGTGTATGCACCCCCTGCATGCACCCCCGAATGCGCCCCTGTGCATGCATGTGCCCCACCCCCGGTGCATGCGTGGCAGAGACCTGAAGACCAGTTGGCCAGCAGGAGGCGCGTGTGCATGCACAGTGGAGCTGAACTGGGGTGATGGTTCGTATGCTGTCAGAGAGGGCACTGCATGCCACCTCTGGCATGTGTGCCATTGTTTCGCCATCATGGGTCTAGGTTTTCCTTTAAGTTTAAGTCTCTCCCTTTGGGAAAAAAATAGTTTTGAAAAATATATAGTAATTCCCTTTCTCCTTACTACAAACTGTTAATGAAAACCTGTGAAGAATACAGATTTCCCTTTCAGGAGAAATGAAAATAGTAGGGAAATAGTTTTGTTTGATGTTCCAACATGTACACATGCTATACTGACTGAACTCATCCCAAAAAATGTCATTACTGACATTACATGAACTGAGTTCAGTCTACTGGAGATTCTTTGTTTAACTTTTTCCAAAGCATATTTTCACATTTCTGTGGTATGTTCTCATTGTTACATAGCAAGGCAGCTGCTTTTCAGCACATTCTTTCTGGGATTAGGGAATTTGATTTCATAAACCCTGTGTGTAAGAAAGAAATGATATTTTACTCACACATGGAAAAAGATATTAAAAAATCAATTTATCTAGTTACTAATTTTCTAAAACAATTTTTGTTTATGTGCTATAGTTCACTTATGGCTCTGCTTCTGAAATGAATAGGAAAACTCAAGCTGTTTTCTATCATCAGATGTTTCCAGATGTACACAGACAATATAAAGGGATTCTCCAGTTACTGTTGCATTTCCAGTGGACATGGATTGGGGTACTCTATGACAATGATAACAATGGAGAAAGATTTGTTCAAGAAGCTCTTCCTATGTTTTCTCAGAGAGGAATCTGCTTTGATTATATAGAACGATTCCCAATAATTACATCAGTTAGTGACATTGATAAGATGGTGACAGAGGGAATAAATCAGTATGATGTTATAATTAAAAGCATTGCTAATGTATCCATTGTTTATGGTGAAATTGAGACCATGATATTTTTCAGAATGTGTTCCATATTGTCAAAATATGAGGATGTATCAATAATGGCAAAAGGAAGGGTTTACCTTATGACGGCTCAGATGGAATTCACATCATTCCCATTTCAAAGGAAGGAAGGCATAGACTTGCTTAATGGTGCCCTGTCCTTAGCAGTTCATTCAAAGGAGGTCCCGAGATTCACCGACTTTCTTCGGTTGATAAATGCTAGCTTTGAAGGAGAAGATGGCTTCATTCAGGGTTTTTGGGAAGAGGCCTTTGGATGTTTGTTTCCCGAGTCCACGATAGACAGGCAAGGAAGAGTCTCCTGCACTGGTAAGGAGAAACTGGAGAATCTCCCAGCATCTATTTTTGAAATGAGCATGACTTCCCATAGCTACAGCATCTACAATGCAGTCTATACTGTGGCATATGCTTTGCACAACATGCTTTCATTTCAATTGAAAAAACAGAGAGTGTCATTGAAGCAATCCATAGCTTGCTGGCTCAACACCTATGGGAGGTAATGTCAACATATTGCTTTATGTTATATTTCTTTTTTACCTGGAATCATTTTGTTAATTGATTCCAGGAGGCGTGATGAGCACCAAAATCAATGGGAATTTTTTTTCCCATAATAAATAATGTAGTGTGTCACAAGGCAGCGGACAACAAGAAGTTCTAGTTTGTGCATTGAGTACTAAACAAACAATGAGTATCAGGACAATTTTTTTTTTTTGCATCAAAATGCAATGAGTACCAAATCTGATGAGTTTCAAAGTAGTTGAGTACAAAGATACCACTATAGCTCACGTGGTTTAAAATTTCAAAAGTATATATCGGCTAAGCAAGAATGGAAGCTGGTTTACTAATATAGACTGTATCTTGAGAGGCACGTTGGGTCTAATTCATAGCAGTTGTTGGTGAAACACCAGGAACTCTATTGTCTTGAACATAGTTACTAATCACTGAAGCTTAATATTACCCCAAAAATGTGAGCTATGAAAGCTAGTATTGGTTCATAAACTGTCAGGTGATCAATGCCTCAGTCATCTAGGTCATGCTTGTCCCAAAGGTGCTGAAGAAGCTTCTTGGATGAGAAGTGAAACTTCTTCAAAGAAAACCAGAAAGTCCAGTTGCCTCTTGAAAAAGCGCCTTTGTCAAGTGATCACTTTTTTCACAATGGTGGGATGTGCCTTCCTAAATAGGCTGCATTTCTACTTAATTCTTTCATGGCTATTCTATGTCATAGTGATTTTTATATGTTCCAAACAACCACAATTTTACAATTAGAAATATGTTGGATCAGTTGTAGAAAGACCAGTCACTGATACATCTTCCCAAAGAGCTCTGATCTGTGGTAGAATTCAATTTTTTTTTACTACCGGCTGGTGGGCGTGGTGTGGCTTGGTGGGCATGTCTTGGTGGGATGGCTGGGGAAGGATACTGCAAAATCCACATTCCCTCCCCACTCCTGGGGGAAGGATATTGCAAAATCTCCATTCCTACCACACTCTGGGGCCAGCCCGAAGTGGTATTTGCCAGTTCTCTGAACTACTCAAAATTTCCTCTACCGGTTCTCCAGAACCTGTCAGAACCTGCTGAATAGCACCCCTGGTTCTCATAGGCTATTTGCCTAAGAGTTACTCTGTATTGAAACCTAACCATACAGGCACAGATCACACCCCTTTACAAATAGGCATGAGATTGCATAGCAACATATGTCCAGCAAACAAATACTTGAGGCCTTCTCAGAAAATGAATCTATTCATCCTAATTTCTCCTTTTTCTCTAGAACGCTATTCTAATTCCTGTTTTCTGTATATGTCTATTTGTTATACATGAAAAAAAAAAACTCAAATGGAAAACAGCAGTATCCTTAAATATATCCTGATGAATTGCAATCTCATCTCCTCTCTTCAGCTCAACCATTTTGTGAAAATAAACTCATTTAACAACAGTGTTGGGGAAACAATTTTCTTCAATCAAAATGGAGAAGTAGAAACTGGATTTGATATTATCAACTGGGTAACCTTCCCAAACCTTTCCTTCCTTAGAGTCAAAGTTGGAGACATACAACCCTTGTCTCTCGCAGAAAACACATTTACTATTTCAGAGGAAAGCATAATTTGGCCAAAGTGGTTTAACCAGGTAGGACCTATACATCTTCAAACTTAAAAATATATATGTTTTGAATTAACTTTTCTTCAACTACCTCAGAAAATACAGAGAAAATGTAGAAAGAAGTATCAGATCACAAGATATAGGAGAAAGAATCCAACAAAACATGAAATGTTCAAATATTTCATTTTGCACAGAATATCAATATTCAGGAATCATATATTCCAGGACAAGAATGTCATCTCTTCTTCCTTAATATGCTCATGTGTTAATACCATATTTATTTGATTGCATTCATTTATACCATGTTTTCCATCCAAAATCATGACTTAAATATATTTGGGAGCTATATTCATTCATTTGAGTTATTATCTCAAATTGTAAGAGGAAAATCAATAATAAATAAAATATCACTGTGAAATGCTAATAAATTCAAAGTATGACATTTAAATGACATTTGATTGGTGCAGAAATACATCATGTCACTTTTCTTTTAATCTGACTCACTACCTAGCTATCACTCTCTATATGAATTTCTGGATACACATAAGCAAAATTGAAAAACAACTTTCCCCTAGAGGAGTCTTCACAATAAGTTGTCATATATGATTTTTTTTTCTGAATTATTCATCTATGAAAGCACATGTTCCTATGGTTATTTGTAGATATATACATTTGCAAGATAGAGAACCTTCTCTTTCTTTTCTCTGTAGACAAAGCCTTTTTCTGTTTGCAATGAAAATTGTCATCCAGGTTACAGGAAGGCCAAAAAGGAAGGGAAACCATTTTGCTGCTATGATTGCCTTCCTTGTCCAACAGAGAAGATTTCTAATCAGAAGGGTAAATGATACTGTGTTTCCTTGAAAATAAGACCCTGTCTTATATTTTTTTGAATAAGGCACTTGGCCTTATTTTCGGGGAAGTCTTATTATTTTGGGGTACATGGAACAAGATGGGATTCCCCTTGCCATCTTACCTGATTTCCAGCTCTGTCTCCCTAACCCTAACCAGAGGAAATGGCAGGGACCATCTGCGCATGCATATTAATATTTTTGGGGTGGTGGTGGTTTATTTTCAGGGAGGGCTTATTTTCAGGGGTGGCTTATTTTAGCACATGCACTCAAAAGCCTGATTGGGCTTATTATCTAGGGAGGCTTATTTTCAGTAAAACAGGGTAATACTTAGAGGAATGGTTGCCCATTTGGTAGCTGTGATCACAACTGATTTTCTGTTGAGTTACTCGGATTGATAGATCGATTGATGGAGTCAATTTCTATAGCTGCCCAACTCAGCCAAGTGACTCTGGTGGCTTACAATTCTAAAATTAAAAAAAAATAAAAAAAGTTAGAAAACATTAAAACAATAAAAACATCCATAAAATAAATAAGTACAAACAGCATCTGTGATAGCAATAGCACTTAGACTTATTTCCCACTTCATAGTGCTTTTACAGCACTCTGTAAGTGGTTTTACAGAGTCAGCCTATTGCCCCCAACAGTTTGGGTCCTCGTTTTACCCATCTCGGAAGGATGGAAGGCTGAGTCAACCTTGAGCCAGTGGAATTTGAATTGCTGAACTGCCAAACTGCAGCAAGCACTCAGCTGAAGTAGTCTATAGTACTGGCACACTAACCACTGTGCCACCTCAGCTCATAATGAACCAATTTACAGTAAAACCAAGTAACAGGGCCCTTATCAAATTCTTATCAAATTTAGAAGGCTAAAAAGGAAGGGAAACCATTTTGCTGCTTTGATTGCCTTCCTTGCCGTCCAACAGACGATTGCCGACGGATTGCCGTCCAACAGAGAAGATTACTAATCAGAAGGGTAAAAGATACTACCCAGAGGTGTGGTGCCCCAGTTGTGGTCTGGGATCATGATTGATGATCTGCTGAGGTACTCAGGTTGTCCATCATGCAGCTGTCTATAGGGATTTACAACTAAAACAGATCTGATTATTCCAGTATCATTTTCATGAAAACTATATACAGTATAGAATAAAGCCTGTTTCTCTTTCCCCACAGACATGGACAACTGCTTTCAGTGTCCACTAGATCATTATCCAAACGAGGAGCAAAATTTCTGCCTTCCAAAATATGTAACATTTTTATCCTATGAAGAAATGCTGGGGAACATTTTTATCAGCTTTATTCTTACTTTTTCTATTATTACTATTTTGCTGCTTTGGCTCTTCATTAAAAACAATGACACCCCTATTGTGAAAGCCAACAATGAAACACTCACCTACATTCTTTTCATCTCTCTCCTGCTCTCGTTTCTCTGTGCTTTGCTATTTATTGGCCAGCCTCATCAATGGACATGCCTTCTTCGACAAGTTACTTTTGGTATCATCTTCTCCATGGCAGTTTCTAGCATTTTGGCCAAGACTATCATTGTAATTCTTGCTTTCATGGCTACCAAGCCAGGATCCAGAATTAGAAAATGGATGGGGAAGAGACTGGGTCTTTCTATTGTCCTTTCTTGCTCTTTTATTCAAACCATTATTTGTACAGTATGGCTATCAACCTCTCCCCCCATTCCTAGATGTTGACATGTATTCCATGCCAAAGGAAATTGTATTGATATGTAAGGAAGGGTCAACCGTCATGTTCTACTGTGTCCTTGGTTTTATGGGTCTTGGCAATTATCAGCTTCGTGGTGGCTTTCCTGGTCAGGAAGTTACCGGACACCTTTAATGAAGCCAAATTTATCACCTTCAGCATGTTGGTCTTTTGCAGTGTCTGGCTGTCCTTTGTTCCAACCTACTTGAGCACAAAGGGGAAATATATGGTGGCTGTAGAGATCTTCTCCATTTTGTGCTCCAGTGGGGGGTTGTTGGCTTTCATCTTCTTCCCAAAATGTTACATTATTCTGTTGAGGCCTGATTTAAATAAAAAGGAACAGCTAAAAGGGGGAAAAAACTAAACAGTTTGCCATAAGAATAATTTCCATCCTCTATAACTGAAAAGGAATATAATTTCTTAATTAAAAGAAAACAAGTGCCTGGGGTATTTTTGTTCAGTTCTTGAAAAGTCTGATGACCTAAAGCCAAATCCCTATAAGAAGATAATAACTCTTTTGTCTTCAGTTGAAATGTTTAGTGATTATTTATTTATTTATTTAATTAATTAATTAATTAATTATTTAATTATTTAAACAACAGCACTATGGAAAATTCTACCTGTTCAACATATTTCAAGAATAAAACATGGATGAAAGCAAAATTTCCCTTTAGGTGTCACTGAAAAGTGTAGTTCTTTATTTTTTATGTAATGTTAAGAAATCTAAAATTTGTTTTAAAAGGAAGCCAAAACAATGTGCTTGGAATT